TTCTCAATGAAGTCAACATAACCTCTAGCAAACTGTGGCCAGCACGAACCATATTAATTGAAGAAATTTTAAAATAGAAGTGGGATTATTGGCTTGATACCCCCCCCATCCCTGATATAAGAAGGATTTTTAATATAGAAAGTTTTGTTTGGTAAGGGCTTCAGGTATCTTGGTGCCTGCAGCCATGATTCTCTGAGCTAAATCTATGAATGGAATTACAACAAATTCATACAAATGTCACAACAGATAAAATGTGTGTTTCCCATGCCAGTGTCCCTCATCCAGTCCAAGTGTACCCCCTCCCCCCAGGCTTTTCCAGATGTATTTCATACACAGAGTCACTGTTCTGGTTGTTTATTTAATTAACATGACAGCCCGGCACACACTGTTTCTTTCAGTTCTACAGTTAAACTTTTTACACTTCAGACTCAAGACAGAAAGAGTAAAGTGACTGTTTTCACTCCTTCCAACCTCTGGAAATTTATATAGATTCTCTGACTATTTCTGTCAGTTAAAATGGTCCATTGGTATGCTTTAAATATCAGTATTCACAAAGTAAAAAAAAAAAAAGTCACGGGAAAACAAAACATTACTTTCCTCACTTTCCCCAGAGAATAAGAAAACCTTGTTTTACCTTTTCAGAGGTTGACATTAATTAATTTTAATTCTGTCACCAAGCCATAATCAATATTTCTGTTTCTATCATCATAAACTGAGGAATAATAATGAAATATGATAGAAGCCACCATTTAGAGGCCCACGTTTCTTAACTGTGTTCAATGTAAGAAACATCAAAATACATTTAGAAATGTAAAGTATGCTACATTCTTTATGTTCAGAAATAGGATATGGCTTTATCTGTGATAGAGCCCTTGTCCAGCACACATGAGGTCCCAGGATCAAGTCCCAACATCACCAAAACATTTCTGCCATTTTAAATCCTGACATTCTACTAAGGCTGCTTGTAGGACGGCAAGATGGATTGATCAATGGGTAAAGACGCTTGCCACCAAGCCTGAGGACCAGAGAGAGATTCCTGGGACTCATATGATAGAAGGAAGAGCTAAGTCCTGCAGACTGTCCTCTGACCCCTAAAACACATAACATGTTACAGTGAGCATGGATGCATGAGCTCGTGCTTACGTGCACACATGTAATTAAAAAACAAACTGTCTCAACAATTATCTGAGAAGAAATACTTCTGTGCTTTGTATCTGTACTGGGAAAGCTATCAAATTCAATTTGTTCAAAAGTAATGGCATCTAAGAAAGCCCAACATCTGCCCACCCTCCAGTGAGTACCAACAGAAACCGTTATCCTATCTTTCTTTTTTTGTTGTTGTTTGCATGGGGAGTTGGAGGCACTTTAAAACATCCTTTTAACACCTGTGGTTAACAACTTGGCCCTCTCTGCTACCAAACTTATATTCCATTGTGAGTACACTCACATAGGCTAGTGATTCTCAATGGAGTGCTCCGAGAAATAGTCTCAGGAGAGCATAACTTCTGCTCTAGTCAGGCAAACAATGTATCTTGTACATTTCTGATGGTCTTTGTGTCTATCACAGAGAAATTACTCATTAATGCAGCTCAAAGCTTTTCATGGGGGGGGGAGGAACTGGATGACTTCTGCTTTCCCCTATGAAACCCTATATTTAACATATTAAATTCTTAACAGGTAAGTAAAATAAAATTACATTTGGTTTAGAATCCATTAGAAATGAGTAGGCAAGCTGCATTCAGTAATTTCAGAGAAATGAATATCCAGTAGTGTTCTGTGAGGCATATAGAGAACAGGTAAGCCTCAAGTGTTTCTCCAAAAGTTGAAAGCTGCAGAACTAACTTTGTGTTGAAAAGAGAACTTATTTGTCATGATCATTCAATAAATGCTAGGTACTTCTGTGGACTGGATGTTGGCACGGGTGCAGAATCAAATTGACAAGGTTATAGCTGCTATCAGATGTGAGAATTCACTTCCAGAGGGCACACACACCTTAGCAAACCCCAGTCCTCCCAGACCATCAGCCTAAAATGTATAACTTAGAACATACATCTAATAACCCAGGCTCAGTCTTGAGGATACAGGGTTGGCAAGACTGGGCCACAAAGATGCTGTCAACTTTGCTTCTCATTAGACGACACTTTTGGTTGCCTTCATACACACCTGGTGCCTCTCCTGATTCTCTGACCAAAATCTAGACCTGCATTTCCTTTCTTTGCTGCAAATTATCCGTGTTACAAACTCTTCAGGGAATATATAATCCTAGACTTCAGGGGAGGAGAGAGAGACAGAGGGAGGGAGGGCCTTCTTGTCTTATGAGAATTTTAGCATGTGTTCTTCTATGCCTCTTCAGAAATCGAAGAAAAAGTCACAACAGTGGTCACTGTCACTCATAAAGAGAAGAAAAATGCCCCAACTCTCTCACCTTTAAATTCCACAACGAGCAACAGCTAAGTTGGTTCTTAGGAAATCTCCGTCTTCCGTGCCTTCCAGCACTATTTAAAACTCACTGGTTGCCTACAACAAATGCCCTGTTCAGAAAAGAACTAACCAGAGCACCGGGGGCAAGTGGGAGATGTACATTTTATACTTATGTACATTCTGGACTCTGTCAAACAACGTATGCAAATGATCTCGGTACCCTTTGCCCTCTTAATCAGAAGTTTGCTTCCTTGTGATAAAAAAGATAAGCCGTTTACTATAAGGCTCCCAACCTTTTCACAGAGTTCGGCCAACGTATGAGCTGTCACCTCGCCCTATCTCAGAAGATACTACTCCATGTCAGCACCGCCCAGTACCCACAATTATATGCAGCGACAGCTTTAATGTGTTATATATAAAAACCAGGCTTCAAGGGTCCAAGTTACTGCTGCATGCAACCAGGGCCTCCTGTCATCCTAAGTGAGAGCTTCTTGATTTGCAACATTCTTCATCAACACGATCTTGAAGAAGAAGAATCCTCAACGAAAATGATCAGGATAGATGATAAACGTGTACTATCCGAGTAATTAATGAGTAAAACCTTTGACGATGCCAAGCTCAATGAGGCACTTCTAAGACCATCCCAGGACCTCATTTACTAGCATGAAGCAGAGAGGCGAGAGAAAACCTGCACACACGACTATGCTCACCAGCAAGACTGCTCTGGTCACCTAGAGGCCTTCTGATCTCAAATCCACTCTGAATTCTCTTAATCCAAAATGTCAGAAATTAAATTCTGAGGGCTAAGTGGCATTAATGCAGAGTCAAATTACTTCTGATTCGATCCAGATTTTTCCTATAAGCTAGACTTCAACGTTGGCAAGGACCACATCACATTTTCCTTTAAGTTAAAGAGAAGTGTGTTGTCCGGTATTCTTAATCGTCACGCTGTCATATTCATTCTCTCTCTCTCTCTCTCTCTCTCTCTCTCTCTCTCTCTCTCTCTCT